TCCCAGCCAGCCAGGGTTGGCGGGGTGGGTCTCAGGCGCGTCTTCAGCTGGCCCAATCCCAGCCAGCCGGGGTTGGCGGGGTGGGTCTCAGGCGCGTCTTCAGCTGGCCCAATCCCAGCCAGCCGGGGTTGGCGGGGTGGGTCTCAGGCAGGTCTTCAGCTGGCCCAATCTCAGCCAGCCGGGGTTGGCGGGGTGGGTCTCAGGCGCGTCTTCAGCTGGCCCAATCCCAGCCAGCCGGCCAGGGAGCCAAGAAATAACGGGGATGGTGGGAGCAGGGCGGGGGACAGGCGTGAGCAGGGGGGGGACAGGGTGCAGAGCGGGGGACAGGCGTGTGCAGGGGGGATGCAGAGCGGGGGACAGGTGTGTGCAGGGGGGGACAGGCGTGTGCAGGGGGGGACAGGTGTGTGCAGGGCGGGGGGACAGGCGTGTGCAGGGGGGACAGGCGTGTGCAGAGCGGGGGACAGGCGTGTGCAGGGCAGTGGCAAGTCCACTCCTCCCCAGAAAGGCAAGGCTTGAGAGAGCCTCAAGTCCCCTTTGAAGCCATGGGGCTTGGCAAAGGCTCTGCCTCCTGCAGTTCCCACCTAGAGCCTGACCAGGGTACTGCCCCCACCCCAGCCAGGCCCTCAGCTCCAAGACTGCCAAGGCCCCAGGCCGCTTGGGACGGCCCGGACATCTGCCTTCCAGAGACAGTGACCACAGCACACCACCCTGCAGGCCGGCCTGCACCCAGTCCTACTGAGACCCGGGGCTGTCTCCAGCATCTTGGGGCTCTCCAAGACTGCTGGCAGCCACAGGTCCCAGCAATCCAGCTTTACTCTACTCTATGCAGCAAACTTGGGCAGTCACACCCACACCACCAAGCCTGATCTCACAAGGTACCCTGGGCACAGGACCCAAAATTGCTGGGGGTCAGGGAGGGGAGTCTTAACAAAGCATCTGGGAGCCTCCAGAGACTCAGCACAGATCCCGGGTCAGCCTTCCCCTCTTGCCCTAGGAGATGGCTCCAGATGGGCCTCTGGGCTTGGACTTCAGCACCCAGCATGAGCTGGTCTCCCCACAGCCACCTAGACAACAGAGAGGCTTAGAAGCCCGTCGTACAGATGAGAAAACCCAGACCCCAAGGAGCCAGGAGACTGCCCAGAGCTGGGAAATGGCCCAGCCAGCCCACGCAGGCTGATCCCAGGCAGAGTGCAGTGCCAAGCCAGTAGCTGTCTGAGGCTGCACAGCCTCCCGGAGGGCTTCTAGCCCTGGCGGGGCAAGCGGTGAGGCCAAGCCACAAAGCGAGAGGTCCTCTAGGCACCTGCTGGGAAGCTTTCCTAGAAATGTTCGTGCCTCACCCTGCTCCAGGAGCTCCCCATAGACAGTGGCTTTCTCTGGGGCACCAGGCCAAGGGAGCCCAACTCAAGCGGCCACACTGCCCCTGCCCTGGTCCAGCCTCTTGTTGCTCCTTTGGGGAGGGCAGGCCTGGCCAGCCCTTAGACTGTCTGATGCCTGAGGGGCAGTGGATGGCAGCGGCAGGCACTCAAAGGAAGCTCGGAGCAGCACTGTGGCTCACGAGGGTAGAGCACTGGTCTTGAGCAGAAAAGCTCAAAGACAGTGCCCAGCCAGAGTTCAAGCCACGACTGATAAAGAACAAGTCGGTTTGGGAACCACCTCCTAAAACAGACACACAGAGGTGGGAGGCGCAGCTGAGTGACCATGCCGGGCTCCGAGATGGCACCTGCTCGGCAGGTCACAGCTGGCCGGAGGGCTCTCCGAGGAGGGGCGCGTAACCCCACCATGTGCCCCAAGTCTTGGCTCTCAGACACAATAAAACCCTGGAAAAGGGAACCGAACTGATGCTCTGAGAAAAGCAAAGGTCCTGCTCACATGCTGGACCAGGCAGCCAGCAACCAGGCAGCCACACAGGCATCCATCCGGGCACTATGGGATAGCCACATGCCTGGGCACAAAGGTGCTTTTTCCAAATAGGTGACAAGCTCCTACCCTCCACCCACGGGACTCTGGTCTGCCCACAGGGGATGGATCTGGCAAAGAGGCTGGCAGCATTGGTCTACTTAACTCTTCCTGGGATGCAGATGGTGCCAAGTTGCTGGCTGGGTGAGGGACGGACCCATGGGAGAAGTAAGCCTGCCATGCCCGAAGGGCCACGGACCCAGGCTGACCTCACTGAAAGTTTGGTGGCCAGGTCTGACAGGACCCTAAGTTCCATGCTACCCGCCAGCTTCCTGGACGGAGGGGCTGACCAGGGCCTGTCAGGGCCTGTGAGTGAGGGATTGTGATCTGCAGGAAGACAAGCCCAGCATGGTCTTCCCTGGGACCTGACCCAACAGCTCCGTCCACGCCCAAGCTGAGACCCCACTGTCCACCCTCCTGCCACCAGTAAATAGAGGCCAGGCAGTAGGGGCAGGGCTCAAGTGGGAGCCACTCAGATTACCCAGACTCATTTTGAATCCCACTCCACAGATCCCAGATTTTGAGTAGCTAAGATTATAGACTCTTTTCTTTGCCAGTCCTGGGGTTTGAACTCAAGAGCCTGGGTACAGCTTCCTAGTAGCTAAGATTACAGGCGTGAGCCACTGGCGCCAGCCAGATCACACACTCTTACCAGCAAGAGCCAGAAGTGGAGCTATGGCTCAAGTAGGAGACTGCCAGCCTTGAGCAAAAAAGCCAAGCAAGGAGCTGGGAAGGTGGCTCAGTGGTAGAGCATTTGCCTTGCATGCATGAGGCCCTGGGTTCGATTCCTCAGCACCACATAAGCAAAAAGCCGGAAGTGGCGCTGTGGCTCAAGTGGTAGAGCGTTAGCCTTGAGCTGAAGAGCTGAGGGACAGTGCCCAGGCCCAGAGTTCAGGCCCCACGACCGGACCCAAAAAAAAAAAAAAAAGCCAAGCAAGAGTGTCAGCCCCAAGCTCAAGACACAGTAACCACATGTGCACACGTGCACATGCACACACACTTACGTACACTAACAGAGAGGATTGTTCTGACTTAACTATAAAACACCATGGTGAAACCTCCTTGTGCAATATATATATATATATATATACATACTTACTTTCTTATTTGGTCTGTTGTGGGGATTGAACTCTGGGCTTAGGTGCTGTCCTGAGCTCTTAAGCTTAAGGCAAGTGCTTTACCACATGAGCTGC